ACAACCAAAAATATACAGATGACACACCCCTGTGTGCTGAAAATTAAGAGGTCTGGAAGCACTTGCTGATGGAGATCGACCAAAGATTACAGCTCGCAGTATGCATTAAAACTCAATGTGGAGAAAATCCAAATCCTCAGAAATGGACAAATGGGTAACATCATGATAAACAGAGAAAAGATTGAGGTTGTCAAAGATTTCATCTTGCTTGGAGCCATCTTCAATTTCAGCTGGGAGAAAACAGAGGAATAAAGCACCTAAGTTGCCCTCAAAAGGCCAGCGAGTTGTTGAGTGGTCAGAAGCACCCAAGGAGAGGTGGGCTGAGAGAGAAGAAAACATGTTTGTTTGTTTGTTTTTTCTAAATGAAGGTATAACTTGCACAGTAATTGTTAAATACAATGTATACATATACAACTCAATTAAAATGTACAAGGTGAACACACCAGGGTAACAGCTCCCATCTGGATCAAGCCCTTCCTGTGTCCCTTCATCCATCGTCTGCCCCTATTCAAAGGTAACCACAGTTTTGACTTGAAATGTCATCAATTAAGGGGTGTGAAGAGAAAGAGGTGCCTGAAAAGGAAATGGAGATTAAACTCGTCAGAGAAATGAAACAGGATGGGGGAGTGGAGGGGAGAAGAAGCCAAGAGGAGTTGATGTAGCTATGCCTATCATGGGCTCAGTTGGAAACTAGTGCTACTTATCATGTGCATGGTTGGAAATTAGTGCTACAAAGTAGCAGAGACCTTGGAAGATCCTCTCGGCAGAAGTGGCAAATGTAGCAAGATCAAGTTCATGAAGGAGTAGCAGCAGTGCTGGCAACTGTGTCCACTTTTAGCCAGGAAGGAAGAGATAATTCTGTGGCATTTGGGGTGATTTCCTTCATTTTATATCCCCCAAGTTCGACTCTTAACAATTTTGTGAGCTACTCAGTACACACTATTATCATCTATTACCTTACTATGGATAAAGGAAGACCCTATAATCATTGTGATTGCCCACCAGACAGTCATTCCCCTGTATTTAAAAAAACAGAGAACTCTGATTTTCTTTCCTCCCCAGGAAGCAATGTGCTCAGTTCCAGGGGATAGATCACAAATGGTCTAAGTTCATGCCATTCTAGGTAATGCCATCCTTGTCGTCAATGTACCTTAGTTTTCATTTTCAGAACACTTCTGAAAGGTAGGTATTATTTTTCCATTGTATTGATGGGAAAATCCAGGCTTAGAGGAGTCACCTGGCTTGAACACCTGTCTGACTGGTAGCAATTTCCATCGGAGGACACCATTGCTCATCCATCTGTCATTGTGTAGTCTGTTACTTGATGACACTGGTGGGGGAGGCTATCCTATTTTCTTATTTGACCCAGGAGGGTGAATGCCTCCATCGTAACCAATCTTGACAATCAAGAATCCCCTTAAGGGGCTCAGGACCCCTCAGGAACTACTCCTAATGACTTCTCGGCACCCCTCGCCCTCCAGAAGTACCTATTAGAGTTATTAGAACTCCCAGGATCCCCCTTCCCAAGAGCTGCTCCTAATGACCCCCACCCAGTTCGTGTTCACTGAGGACCTGCTGCTAATTACTCTAAGGACACTACTTACCCTTAGGGCCTGTTCTAATGACCTGCAGGGCTCCCTCCCCTCCAGGAATGGTTCCTAATTGTCCTCAGGAAGTAGGGTGACCAACCGTCCAAGTGTGCTGGGGAGTCAGGGCGTCCCCAGGAAACCAAGACAGACCCGGGCAGGCAAGTTGACCGCTCTATTCGTAAGTCCCTGCCTTCGGTAGCAGCCCTTAATAATCCTTATCATTCTTCCAAACAAGGCAAGGGTCCAGTTCACTCCCTAAAGACTTTGCCCCGCCCTTTCGCTCAAAGCTATTCTACAATCATCTCACCGCCTATACCCACCTACCCGGGCCATCCCATTTCTAAGAACTCGTCTTCTTTCAATGCGGATTAGTTATGGATGGCCAGGAGCTTGGCGATGATTGGCCCACTCCGCAGTTCAGCCGCGGGGCTCAGCGACTTGGTCTCCCTTAGTACAGCGTTTCCTCCTGGCAACAGCCCGAGCCGGCGCTCATTGGCTGAGGCGATGATGATTCCGGCCTTTGAGGCGGATGCAGAGCGCTTGATTGGTGGCTTGAGGTTTTATGGCGGCCCTCGGATTGGTCCTCTCCGGGGGAGCTGCGCGGCTGCGCAGAGGCCGACTTTAGAGGAGGCGGAGCTGCCTTCTTCGCCGGCTGGGGAGAAAAAAGCCCGAACATAGGATCGGCTAAGTTGGACCGAGGGCCTGCCGGGCGGGTGGGCTTTGGCGGCGAGCCGCGGGAGTTTGCGGTCCTGCAGTAGGCGTGACGGTGAGCCCCGGTGGGGGGAGGGGCGAGGGCCCTGGCAACGCTGAGTGATTGACACGGTTCTCGGTCAATGGGAGACAGGAGCTTCCAGGATGGCTCCTGAGATTGGCCCTTTTTAATCTCTTCTGGCCAATGGGCGTCTGGGAGGGGCGGGTCTGCCGGGACTTATTTTCTGCTTCCTGCGCCCCGGCCTCACTCGCCCAAACGGCGGGGCCGGGAGGGGCCGGACGCGTCTTCGGTGAGGCTGGAGGACCTTGCGCGTGGGGAGGGGGGAGTAACCCTGGGAGCGACGCTCGCGGGGCGGCCGCGGGGGGCGGACGGGGGTGCGAACTCTTGATGGCAGCTGCTGCCTTTCTAGGGAGCCTAAGTCCCGGGCCTAGGGCTTAGCGTGTCGCTTGCATCATCATCTGGCTTAATCACAGCCACCCTGCCGGGCAGGGGGTTGGGGTCCCCATTTTACGGGTGGGGAAACAAGCCCAGGCGACTCTCACTGCCAAGGTCACACAGCTACTGAATAGCAGAGCCGAGATCAGTGGCCAGCGTAACTCCCGAGCTGGTGCTGCTGCTGAACCATCACGCTTTGTTACAGGCTGCGGGAGGGAAGGTGTCAGGCTGTGGGCGCTCCCCCCAGGGAGTAGATGGGGGAAGGGAATGCTTGGGTGGAAGAAAGGTGTTGAGCAAGTGAGGTGAGGGTGAAAAGGATCACTTATTCTACGGCTTCTTGGCGCCTGCGGTGCCGGGCATTGTTTTAGATTGGTGGCACAAAAGATGACTAGGGTAGGGTCCCGGGCACCCGGTGCTCTTGGGTGGGACCAGGCTGTGATCGCACAACTCTGTTTTTATTAACAAAAGAGATCTGCTTTTAGAGTTAAAAAATTTTTTTTAAGACATCTTGAAAATGCAATAAACTTCAGGTTCCTCTGCACTTGCATCTGTTCCTGCAAAGATTGTAGTCCAGGCGGCGAATGGGACGCAGGCAGCATTTGCTAGTGGGAGGGGCAAAGGGAGCATTTCAGGTCTGAAGTCCTACTTCCTGATATGTAAAACGGGCACATACCTGCCTTGCAAAGTTTGCAGCGGGTATGGGGAGAGAGCCTGGCCAGGAACACTCTGAGATAGTTCATTTGTTTTGTCTTAGAGATTTATAGCAGGTTGGGAGCAGTTTCCTGCGCTCTGAGCTCACTGGGGGACTCTTGGGACTGGGCTGGCTTGGCTTTGGGGCCCAGATCACTGGACCCTTGGCAAGGCACGGTGGTTTTGCTGCTAGATTGGCACTGTTTAGCCTGTGCTTTGTCCATTTTCTGTTGAGATGGTCTCTGGGTTGCCAGAGGATGCCTCATCTAAAAGCAAAACAAACTATTTCTTTCATCTTATGCAGTCAGCAAGTTTGCCCTGCATTACCAGTTTATTACCTGTTTAAATTTTGCCCATTTTGGGTTCTGGGTACAGTGCAGTTAAACTGCTCTCTCGCTGGACTTCTTGAAGTCCTGCTGAAGTGGCATTTTGACTAAGCTGTGGCAACAATTTAACTTTAGTATTAGAAATTTCAGTGCACGCCATTCATAGCAAAGCCCCATTCAAACTTTGCAAACTTGTAACCAAGTAACTTTTCCTAAGGATCTGGAAGCCTGTTTGGAAACCCCTCCTGAAGGGCCCCCAGAGGTGGGTTTTAAAGTTTGGTTGCATTTTGTGTTCCTTATCAGAGAAGGGATCTACAAGGTGGGGCTAAAGAGTCACCGGAAAAGAAGAAGGCAAAAACTACTTGTGGCAGGCAGGCGGGTTGTTAGTTAGATAGGACCAACCAGCGAATATAGTTCCCCCTTTCATGGCTGAAACAATGTCTCCGTGTAAATGAGATTTGGATACATGCAGTTTTGATACATTGGATTTTTTAAATTATTAATCATTTTATTGGGGTACAACTCATCACCATCCATTGTGTCAAGCACATTTTTACCTTTGTTGCCCTCATCATTGTCAGAACCCTTGCCTTCTGCTTGAGCCCTTGGTACCAGCTCCTCAACATGGGATTCTTTTAGTTGGCCGGAGCCTGTTTCTGGCAGTGGCCCTTCAGGAACTGCCCCAGAGGCAGATTCTGGTTGGGGGGTCCTGGTGCTGCTTTCTTTGGAGTTTCTCTTCCCTTTTTCGCCATTTTCAGCATTGATGCCCCCCAACATTCACTTTGGGTGCTTCATAGGTTTTTTTAAACTCTTATTATATTTCTTTAGATTTCGTCTGATCCAAGTGGCCCCCAAACGGAAAATGGCCTGCGAATCAGAACCCCTGAATCCCAGCGCTCGGATCATGACCTTTTATCCGACCATGGAGGAGTTCCGGAACTTCAGTCGGTACATTGCTTACATCGAATCCCAAGGAGCTCATCGGGCTGGGCTGGCCAAGGTAAGAGTGGGGTTGGGGTTGGTCAGCCTGGCTTCCAAGGCCAGCAGCCAGGAGTAAGACTTCTTCCTAGGTGGAGGCCAGGAGAACTGGGTCCTACTGAAAGGCCAGTAGAGCCAGGAGCACAGGCAGCCCTGTTCATAAGTTAATTTCCTTTTGCTAACATCTGAAGAATCACTCCTTTTAAGTCGAAGGAGAGCTGATTAGAAACTTCAAAAAGGGAAGGCAGAGGCCAGTGTCCCCAGGACAGGTGCTGGGTGTCTCAGTCCTCCTAGTGGAGTTGGGTGCACTAGTGGGTTTTTAAAAAAAATTCTTCCACGGAGCACATAGGCCATCGGAAGTCCCCTGCTTGGATTCCAGTCTTTGAGACCTCTCATAACTTGACGTTCCATGTGGAGAACACTGGCCCGTGTGGGCAATGTCACACTTAGGTGTTCTTGCCCTTATCATTTGTCGTTGGTTTCTCACAGAACTCTTTTAGTCACCTGTGAGTGAGGTTCATCTTTTCTCTGAGTTAAATCTATTTGTAATTTGCATTTCTGGAAGGACCCTCCAGACACTTGACATCCTGAGCCCTGCAGGAGGAGACTGTTGAACTGCATTGTCTTTTGTGGCATGAGTTATTTTTTGGAATGAGAACTAAAGGAAGCGGGGTGATTGTGAAGCTGCAGACCCGTCCTTGGATGTTGGCTTCTCCACTTAGGCCTGAGTTCCATCCTGGCAGCTCTGTGCCGACACTGTTGCTGCGGGCGAGTCGATGGGAGAAGTAGGAGAACTGGGGGTTGGGGGGGAGTGGGGGGGCTGTTGTCTTCCCATAACATTCTTTGGGGAGGGGGGTTCGACTTCGTCACTACGAAAGTATTCCGCTACATGTGAGCAATTCTGAGAGATACAAAGGAAAGGGTACTCTCTTTCTATACATTTCTGTCCACTCACACAAATGACACCTTTAAGATATTGGGGGGTTTTCCCCTTTAGAATGGGGTATTTCAGTGGCTATTCCCATTTTTTCCTTTTTAAAAAAATACATGTGTTTCTTTTTGTAGTTGAGGTCAATTACCCAACTCATCTTCTCTCTTTCCCCCACCATTTTTGTTGTTGATTATCTTGTTAACTTACTATTGTTATCGTTTGAATAGAGTATACATTTACACGGGTGAAAATCAAGCTCTTCCTCACCGGCACCGAGTCAGCCACGGGGTTGAAGTGCCCCCATGCGTTTCTGAGACCCTAACTGTATGGATGCAGAAAGCTTCGTCTTTCTCCTGAATGGTCGCTGATGGTTTAGAACCACTAACCTTATGGTTTGCAGTCCAACTCGTAACCCACAACACCACCAGAAGGTTGACATTGTGAAATGTCACTCCCAACTCTAAAAGCAGAGCTAAGTCAATTTTTTTAATGTGCACACCTGTGTTTATTGCAGCAATTTCCATAATAAAAAAAAAACACAGAAATAACAAAAAACCCCAATGATAGAGTAATGGATATAAAAGCTTTGGTACATTCATACTACGGGCAATTTTTTTTTTTTAAGATTCCCGCAATTAGATTGGGAGGGTATCAGCTCTTTAACTTCCTTATTTGGTGGCCAGGTGAGTGTACTGAGGCTTGAGAAATAAGTAGGACCAGAGGTCATTGTTAGTGGCTGGATTGGACTGGGATTAGTGCAGTCCTCGCAGTGTGATTGGACTGACTAGAACACTTGCCTGGCAGGTCGGGTGGCAGCTGACCCACTTGTCGGACGGACACCTTGCAGGTTTCTGATGGCTCCGTTTGTCCCGTACGTCCCTACAGGTGGTCCCTCCAAAGGAGTGGAAGCCAAGAGCCTCCTACGACGACATTGACGACCTGGTCATCCCCGCCCCCATCCAGCAGCTGGTGACGGGGCAGTCTGGCCTCTTCACCCAGTACAACATACAGAAGAAGGCCACGACGGTCCGGGAGTTCCGCAAGCTCGCCAACAGTGATAAGTGAGTGAGGACGTGCCGCTCCCTTCACCCAGCAGAGCATCTGGGACCCAGCCGTCACAGCTGCGACCGTCCGGAAGAAAGTGTCCCCAGTTCTAAGTCTCCTCCCTTTATCTTTTCATGGGAGCACTTCTTTCTGTCAGCACGGGCACAGTCTAGGCCTGTTGTTCATGTTCTCAGTGCAACGTTACTCTGCTGCTTTTCTAGCCAAAGGAAGATTGTTTTTGGAAAGTGGCTGATTGGCCGAGGAGATAGTTGGGCGCTGGCTCAGAGGGCCAGATGTATCCATACCTGTCGATGACATGTGGCTGCACTTTCAGTTCATCTCTTCTCATGGAACCCTGCTGTCTTTAATCACACGCAGATGCCTCAGGACCCAGTTAGATGCTGTTCGTTTGTATGCTAACAAAGTGCATGTCCGCGACCAAACTGGTGCTGTTCACAGCCCATCTTCCATTGCCTTAGAAACCCCTCTGTTCAGGCCCGTGGAGTTCAGTTGTCTTTCTTTGCCACTTGTAATATTTCACTCATAACCGTCATGCAGATCCACAGAGAATTGAGTTTTGCGTTTCCTTTACCCTGCTCTGTGGGCTCCTACTTGATCCCTTTGTTGAATCTTCTTTCTTATGTCACTCCGCCTTGAGTTGCCATGTGGCTGCCGCCCTTCTCCCTTGCTGCCTTACCGGAGCCTTTTTGGTCTGTGCGTGTCTGGATCTTCCTTAGCCTTTCCGGCAAGTTCTGCCCTGGCCCTTGCCCACTGTGAGCCCAGCCTGCCAGTCTTCCCGCCCAGGACTGGGTCACCTCTCTCATCTGGTCTTTGCCTTTTCCGGTTTTTGGTCTGTGCTTGCTGTCCTGTTGTCTGAACCACCGTTCTGCTCCAGATGCCCTCTGACTGATAACCGGTTCTCTGAGAGATCTGTATTGCTGCCCTCCCTGCTGTCCAGCCTGAGAGCCGATGGGAAAGCGCAGGCAGGCGGGCCCTTCTTGCTGCGTCTTCTGTGTGTGCAGTGCATCTGTCTGTGTCTGTTTCTGTTTATCCCGGGGTCCTTAGCATGGTCCTGGGTCCCCCTGCTTGCCTGCTCCTCTTACCAGCATAGACTAGCTTTTGCCTTCTCTCAAGATCCCTCTTTTCCTTTTAAACCTACCCATGCTGTGTCTTGTCCCTGCGCTCTGAGCTGTAACATTCTTGTCCATGCTTACTCTCTGCAGTTCCTACCAGCCTTAATAAAACCCAGTAGCTGGTTACAAATCCAGATGTATAAAGCAGATCGGTTGGACATGGGAGATGTCTGCATGTTTTATTTTTATGTAATTTAGAGCTCCTCAAATGCAGCATTTGATTTGTACAGATTTGTTTTTCACTTTGAGGACTATTGACTATCTTCAGGCGGAGTTATCAGTTGCGTGTTAGCCACCTGCATAGGGTGCTGGCAGGAAGTTGAACTTAGGAGTGAGCCCCTTTGGAGCCAGCCTCAGCTTCTTGCATGCTGGCTGACTTGGGGTGTTGTAAGAGCCCAGGAACCATAGGGGTTCCCATGGTGTGTTGGGCACAAGATGAGGCGTTCTACTCCGATAAAGACTCACAGGAATCTTGGAAACCCACTGAGGCAGTTCCCCTCTGCCCTCTGGGGTCACTCTGAGTCAGAATGGACCCCATGGCAGTGGGTTTGTGTTTGGTTTGGTGGATATTATAGGGCCCGTGGTTCTTGTTGCTCACTTATTGTCCAACTCCTGAATCTAGCCCTCTCTTTAGAGAGAGCCCTGGTCGTGTAGTGCTTACACGTTGGGTTGAGATCCACAGCAGCGCTGCAGAAGACAGACTGGGCTTTCTACTCCGTGAACAGCTGTGGTCTCAGGCACCCATATGGGGCTTGCTGTGAATCTGCAGTGACGTAATGTAACGGTGAGGTTGGTTTGTTTTAGAGCGTTTAGGATATGACGACATTTCTCACGGAAGGCGAGCTCACCTCTGAGGACCCTCGATCCTCAGGCCAGAGTGCGGGCAGGGACATCAGGGACTTGCTTAGGTAGCTTGTTGCTCCTAGACGCCATCGAGTAGGTTTCGACTCAGCCTGGCACGCCGGCCTCACACTGGCCCTTGTGCTTGAACTGCTGCAGCCCTGTCCGTCCGTGCTGTTGAGGGGCTCCCTCTTCATGGCTGCCCTGCACTGTAATCCAGCACTCTTCTTCTCCAGGCGTCGGTCTCTCCTGACATGTGCGGCACGTGAGGCGGAGCGCCGGCACGCACGGAGCACTCTGGCTGGGCTGTGCTGTCCGAGACAGACGGTCTGCTCCTTTGGCATCCACATTCTCGGTGCTCTTCGCCGGCACCGCCATTCATCAACAGTTGGGGCGGGAGGAGCCCTGGGGTGCAGGCGTTCCCGTTGGGCTGCCGGCTGCAGTTCCACTTACCATCTGGGGAACCCACCAGGGTCGCTAGGCAGCATCACTGCCTGGGTGCTGAGAGGAGGAGCTGGCTGTAGGCAGCACCCTCATCGTGCACACGCATTGCTCTGCTCGGGCCTGCCTTACACGTTGTTCAGCTCTCTCATGCACGAGGCCATTGAAAGTACCTTGGCTTGAGGCAAGCACACTTTAGTCCTTAAAGTAGCATCTTTGCTTTTCAGTACCTTGAAGAGGGCTCATGCAGTAGGTCAACATTAGATAAGTCTTCCCGTGGATTGATAGTGTCTTAGCACTGCGCGTGTGTATTGGATAGCTAGTCCCCTCTTAGTGGCTCACACTTTTTTATTTTTCCTTTTTGAAAGGTACTGTACCCCACGCTATAGTGAGTTTGAAGAGCTTGAACGGAAATACTGGAAAAACCTCACATTTAATCCCCCAATCTATGGAGCAGATGTGAATGGGACTCTCTATGAAAAGGTGAGACTCCCCGGGAGCCCTCTGGACAGCATCCTGCTCGGGAAAACCAGCTTTCTAAAGGCCAGCACATAGTAGGCTCCTGAAAATGGGGAATGTGTGGACGAACAGCTGAATGATCCACCAGCAGCAGCTGACAGACCGCTCTCTGTGCCCTAATTGGGGGTATTTTCACATGTGACTGGATTCTCTTCCTCCCACTCTGCATGCGAGTTGAACGATGTGGGGTTCTTCCCAGGGCAGTTAGCATAATCTGTGGGTGGGAGCTGCTGAGTTCTTGAGAGGGTGGGCTCCCACGGAAAATGAAATGCTGCCGGGAGAGACCATGTGGTTCTGCAAGGAAACAGATCACTGACTAATCTCATGAAAGGATACATACCGAGGGAGAGAAACAGATTGGGAGTTTCAGAATCCCTCAGGATTTGGTAACAAAAGCTATTTTTAAGCATTGTATTCCTTTGGAATGCACCGTACCTTTTGGCATAAGGAGTTGTCTTAAAAGTGGGAAAAGGAAAAAAAAAGGGAAAAGAGGGGACTATTTGGGATTGACTGCCTTGGGGTGACTAGACATTTCCAGGTCATTTCAGGAATGACTCCTCAGTTGGTTTTCGTGTTTTGTAACTAATGAGGAAGAAGGCATTAAAGGTGCGTTCCAAGTTTCTGGAAGTTCAGATTGGCAGATGCGCACCAGAAGGGTGTTTTCAGGATCTCAGTGGGACGTGTACAAACGACACCTCCCAAACCAAACCCAGGGCCACCCGGTCCCCCCCACCTCACCTAGTTCTGCCCACAGGAGAATGTAGACCTGTGTGTGTGTAGGGGGGGAGGCGGGGGAGGCCTGAGACCACAAGTCTTCATGGGAAGAGCGTAAGCCTCATCGTTCTCCCTTGGAGTGGTAGCGAACTGCTGACCTTGTGCTGAGCAGTCTAATGCATAACCCTGTGTGCCACCAGCAATGGGGCAAATTATTCAGAGTGTACTTAACAATCACGAAAAGGTTTTGGATAACCTTGTGGACTTTAAATGCCACTGACCAGTGGAGATTGGGGCCAGCAAAGCTGCATAATTAGTATAGATAAGCCTTCTGTTGTGCAATTTTTATAGTGCAAGACTGTTTGCCTGTATTGGTTTAAATTTCTTCAATTCAAAAAGTTCCTCCTGGCGTCTAGAACAGGCACTGTGGAGACCTGAGCATCGCCCCTTCACTGGTACGGCCCACCAGGTGGTACTTGCCTCTAGCTCCATGGTGGCTGCAGAAAGGGCGGGAGGGGGCTGTGGTCCCTGTGCCCAGGGTGCTGGGCAGTTTTCCTCAGCTTTGCTAGAAGTCTCACTGCTTCCCTGTGCCCGACTCGGGCTCGCAGGCCCAGCGCCTCCGTTCGTTCATATCCCACGTCGCCTGCCACGGCCTGTCATTTCCCTTGCAGCACGTGGACGAGTGGAACATTGGCCGGCTGAGAACCATCCTGGACCTGGTGGAGAAGGAGAGCGGCATCACCATCGAGGGCGTGAACACCCCCTACCTGTACTTCGGCATGTGGAAGACGTCCTTCGCCTGGCACACGGAGGACATGGACCTCTACAGCATCAACTACCTGCACTTCGGAGAGCCCAAGTCCTGGTAAGGCCAGTCAGCCTTGGCCCCGGGCCTGTCTCTCCGATGGGCAGGGCCGTCACCCGGAGACCTGTTCCATGCCCCTTCGGCTGGGGGCCTGGCCCTCGCCTCTCCCACTTCTTACACGAGGAAATGCGGCTGGTGCTCTGGTGCCCAGTTCTGCTTTTGAGTAGCAGGGCCACCCGAGAGTAGAAGGGCCCCTCGAGTTGCTGAGGCTGGAAGCCCTCCCAGGGGCACACCGCTGGTGGGTCAGCACACCTGCCGTGGCAGCCCAAGGTGGACTGACTCAGTGTGAGAAGATGACAGGCGGAGGCCGAGTCCTGAGAGCCCCAGGGGCTGGTCCCCACGGCCCCCACCCCCCCTTTCTGCTTTCTGGGAACAGGCCACCAGCATTTCTTAGAGGCCAGCAGCTCTCAAGGCCGGGGTCAGGGGGTCAGATGGCAAGTGCCTTTCACTTCCTCGGGGCAGTGGTCTCATTTGGCGAAAGCAGTGGGCACTCAGCACAGGGGAGAGCAGACTGCCCAGCATCTGCCTTGCTCTCAGCACGGTGCGGGTAGTGGGGAGCCCGATTCACTCTCTCCTGGGCTGCTCCACCTGCTGGGCTCCGCGTTTCCGCAGAGGTGCTGCAGAGAACAGGTCTGACAGACACGGCCAGGGGTAGGGCTGGGCTGAGAGTGACCGCAGAGTGGAGACTGACAACAGGAGGCATGGGCTGGTTGGAATTGGGAGGGGGTCAGAGGGAGACTGTAGGCACCTCTTTGGTACATGGAGGAAAGGCAGCGCCAAGCCAGGGGGCCAAAGACCAAGAGGACACAGCATCATGTTGGGGGGGGGCGGCGAGGAGAGTGCACAGTGGTTTAGGGACCGGACCCCCCCCAACCCGGCTGTGGGGAGTCACAGAAACTCCGCCCTGCCTTCAAATGCTGCTTCAGGGGCAGTCCCTCTTGGACAGGGGAGACCCCGTGGGACCGTCTACCTTAGAGGGCTAGACGTCCTGGCCCTGTCAACGGAACTTTTGTCCTTACCCCAGTGTCTACCCCCACATTCCCTGAAGCTGAATCCCCACCCTCAGCTTGAGCAGGCTTCCCCGTTACCTGGTGTCCCCTTTGAGCTTGTCCCCTGAAATGGGCAAGCATTTCCCTGAACTCTCCTCCTGCGGCCCCCGCCCCCCACCATGATGACGCGGTTTGGGATGGAAAATCCTTTGTTTTATTGGGGAGTGGTCTTTGGAGTAGATGTAAAGGTCAGGATAGAGATACTGTGAGTTTCGAGGTGTGAAGTTTAATAGCTCTGCAAACATTTAATCTGAGAGTCTTTTAAAAGTTTGTGTTTTCTTAGGATGAGCAGTTCTAAGAATAGAATGGCTAGTGAGTGGTTCATGAGGGGGAGGCTTTCTTAAAGGCCTCACCCCAGCTCCCTTTTGTTTCCCGTTCCCTCACCTCTGCCTCGGTGCGGTGCGGTCTCTCAGCAGTGCCGGGAACAAGTTACAAAGTAGTGAGTTTTTGTAATGCTGTCCTCCTCTTAAATAACTTTATAGAAATGCTCAGCGCGAGCCGTAAACTACCATAAACCTAGGCTCCTGGTAGATGTTCAGTAAATGTCTTGTTGAGTGACTCAAATACACATATTAAAGGCAGTTAGGCTTCTCACTGCTCTGCCCAGACATCTCCCATGGCACCTCACCAAACTTCCTCCTTGTGTCTGGGGGGGACACTGAACTCTCTGGTAACCCTTCTTATCTTGAGAGTTGGAGCAAGCCTGTGCCTGTCCTTGCTCAGACCGCCCAATCTGTGCTTGCAGGTACTCTGTTCCCCCCGAACATGGGAAGCGGTTGGAGCGCCTTGCCAAAGGTACTGTGTCTTCTCTGGACATGGCCCAGATCCTGGAGCTGCATGCTGAGCTCTCAGATGTGGTCCTGTGTCTTCCCAGGCCTTCGGGCTTGAGCGGTGTAGCCCTGCTGCCACCCCACATGGCGCTGCCTGTGCTTGTGGTCCCTTTGTTATGTTAGTCAAGGGTTTGCTTAGATAGAGTCCATCCCTTTTGGGAGAAAGTGGTGGTCGAAAGAGAAGCCAAGCCGCAGGAAGATGCTCTCGGGAGACAAGGACTTTCCTCCACCACCGACAGGAGCAAGCCTTCCTCTGAATGCGGGCTCCTCTTCCTAAACGATGAGAAAATAGTGGGTGTTCACGCCATCCTCGGGTGGCAGGCAGCCTAAAGATGAGCTAGCCTGCCCAGTCCTGGTTACAACGGGAACCTTTTTGCAGCTTTGTCCAGAGACCGACTTGGGAACGCCCCCCACTCCTGTCTTGTATTCACTGTGTGTTGGCACAGTTTTGTTTTGACCAGGGGCAAGTGGATTGGTCACATTGAGTCTGGTTTTTGCTGCCCCAAACTCAAATGTCAAAGTCAGAATTGAACGATGTTACGGAATGGTTCCTGTAAGTGGACTTGGGCCAGGTTGATCGTACCTGCAGAGAGCCTATCCCAGCAAGAGCGTCGGGGTGGTCCTGGTGTACGTGTAGCTACCAAGAGTGTGAGCCCACAGGGGGTGGAGAAAGCGCCTGAATGTAAGGGCAGAGAGGGAGCTTGGGTAAACTCTGTCCTAACAGAATTTGGTTTCCTGGGGGGAGATAGCCCAGAGGCTGTCCGTAAACTCTTAGCATTGATTTGAGGCTGGACTGGTCCTTGAACATCACATGGTGGTCCTTCCTCCTTGTCCAGGTGAGACCTCCATCCAGGTGTGAAGTGACTGGGCCACTCCACTGTGGAGCACTAACCCAAGTGCGTTTTCACTTAAACAGGCTTTTTCCCAGGAAGCGCTCAGAGCTGCGAGGCTTTCCTCAGGCATAAGATGACCCTGATTTCTCCTTTAATGCTGAAGAAATATGGGATTCCCTTTGACAAGGTAAGCTGACTTTATGCACGGGGCTCACCCAGAAACCACTGTTTTGTTTTGTTTTTAATCAATTTATTGGGGCTCATACAATTCATCACAATACAATTGTGTAAAGCACATCTATACATTTGTTGCCCTCATCATTCCCAAAATTCACTTTCCTTTTGGGTTCCCGGAATCAGCTCATTTTCCTTTTTTCCCCTCCGAAACCACTGTTTTTGCGGCTCTGTTCTGCAGAGAATTTTTGTTTTTGGTATCTTGGTATTCTCTTACTCTGTATTGTATATCAATCACTGTCTAACGACGTTTTTATCTCAGCGGTTGAAAGTGGCGTCCCATTTCCTCCCAGTCGGTGCCCAGGGGTGTGAGGCAGGTTCCCATGATTGAACCATGTTAATTTGGAGTGGGATACTCACTCCTCGCTTATCTGCACGTTTTAGATTGCAAATACCAGATCTTTGTGTGAAAACGGGAGGGAGGATGGCTATATTATTACTGGCAAATTAATGATCACAACAATTGTACTACTGAGAATCATGGCCTGTCCACGCTGATACAGACCCATCCCCATCACAGCCAGCCTTGACACTCGGTACTGCCAGGTGTCTGCTCAGCACGATATAGAGCGATGTAGAAGACTGCTGTAGCTGGGCATGTCGGCCAGTGAGAGAGTGGTGAGGAGTTGCTGCCCTTCGTCCTGTGCATCTTACGGAAGATGGCACCCAGCCTCCCGTCAGTCAGCCTTGTTCTGACCCTAAGCTGTCGTCAGTCAAATGGGCGCCTGAGTCCATCTCTGCAGCCTTGCTGCCACCTGAAACAATTACTTCAATCTCTTCTCCAGGTGACCCAAGAGGCTGGAGAATTTATGATCACGTTCCCCTATGGCTACCACGCGGGCTTTAACCATGGCTTCAACTGCGCCGAATCCACCAATTTTGCCACGCGGCGGTGGATTGAGTATGGCAAACAAGCTGTGCTGGTGAGTTCTTCTGTATTTCTTCAGTGCCGAGATCGTGACCAGTCAGGTCTGGTCGGGCCAGTCCTTCTGCAGCCTACTGGTGGGTTCTCAGGCCGCTTCTTTGCACTTCTGACATTCAGAAGATTAGTTGTCAGAAATACACACACTTTGTCTCATAAAGGGTTTTACAAAAATTGCTCAGGTTTGGGACATAAGAAGTGATTCACTTCCCATGCATATTCAAACAGCCGCCTTTGCCACAAAGGAAAAGCCAGTACTCAGCATTTATATGGGATGGCAAACGCTCGACTAGTCCAAGTGACCTTGAAAAAGAACACAGGAGAAGGGCCCATACCTCCTGATGTGAAAACGTACTATAAAGCTCAGTCACCAAAGCAGCCTGGCATAAGGAAAGACATATGTAGACCAAGGGCCTATAGCTGGGCTCCCCGGAACCTGCCCGTCTATGGCGATTTTTCTGACAAGGTGCGAAGCCATTCAGTGAATGGGAATGACCAGTCCCTTTTAAGTGCCAGAACAAGTGGGCTTCCACAGACAGAAGAATGAAGCTGCTCCCCACCACAGACAAAGCTAACACTGGACGAAAGGCCTAAATACGAGAACTAAACCCGTAAGGAAACCAAGGAGCGATGCTTCTGGACGGTGAGTTCTTAGCTCTGACCCCGAAAGCACGAACAGCGAAGGACAACTAGATGAATTGAACCAGGATCCGTCGGCACCAGAACTACGGGCCACACACTGTACCACTTCTTACTCGAGCCCCTCAGGTTTCTCCTGGTGAGACATGCTTAGGGGTTTACTCTGGGTCTCGGCAAGCCACAGGGCTGGACCCCAGGCCACGGGTAGACCAGCTAGTCTTGGGTAGACATCAAGGTGAAGGTGGCTGAGTGCAGGTCCCCTCTGCCTGGGTGGAGGGCTCTGCCACCAGGATGCCCTCCCCCTCTGAGCCCGACTGTCTGCATGGGTGTATGTGTGTGTGCTCTGCCTCGTTTGCCCGAGGAGGTGACGGCAGAGCCCTGCTCATCCGTAGCCCCTCTTTGCTCGTGCAGTGCTCCTGCAGAAAAGATATGGTGAAGATCTCCATGGACGTGTTTGTGAGGAAGTTCCAACCGGAAAGGTACAAACTTTGGAAAGCCGGGAAGGACAGCACAGTGATTGACCACACGCTGCCCACGCCTGAAGCAGCGGAGTTTCTGCAGGAGAGTGACTTGCCCTCCAGAGCCGGTCCCCATGCCTGTCCAGAAGAGGACACGGAGAGGGTCGAGGCCGGAGGAGAGGAAGGAGACCCGAGAAGAAGGTAACCAGAATCCTTGGAGCGCAAGCAGCCAAGTGCACCCTTGGCTCTCTTCTCCAGGAGTGCTAACGCCTGTCGGTTTAGGTCCGCTGCCTCCCGGAGCAAGGGGTCCCATGTCCACACGAGGGCCTGACCTCGCAGGTTGCTTTCAGAGGAGAGAGTGTGGTGGCAGGGGTGCAGCTTGAAAGGGCAGGAGAACGCAGTGACACTCCTCTGCCTGTGTCTTCTGTGTTTGAACCAGGGAACTCTGATCTCTGAGAAGAATCCCTGAGCCCTTACGGGGAGGAAAAGCAGACCATTGCGGGCAAGCTCTTGGCCGAGTGCCTGGCAGACGGTTTCTGAATCCTCAAACAGATCTGGGGGGAGGTGGGCAGTGGCATTCGGGTTTTTTAGAGAGTTGGAGCCCCTGGCTCGGGCCACACAGGGAGAGGTGTGGCTGGTACTTGAAGCGGCCTGACGGCTCTGGCCACCTCCGTGGGGCCGAGTGTGGCTGGGAGTTGAGTACCTGTCTGTGGCTTTGACAAGGTTTGCCTGACTTCCTTCTTGCAGCCTCGCCAAGCACCGGATAGGGACGAAGAGACACCGAGTGTGTCTCGAAATTCCACAGGAGGTGAGTCAGAGCGAGCTCTTCCCCAAAGAGGAGCTGAGCTCCGGACAGTACGAGATGACGGAGTGCCAGGCTGCCCTCGCCCCCGTGAGACCCACTCATAGCTCCGTGCGGCCAGTGGAGGATGGTCTCGCCTTCCCAGGTTGGTGGACGATTTGGTGCGTTTTGTGCTACAGCCTTACCTAAAGCCTACGTGCTCGGGGTTAGCTCTTGTCCGGAGTGCGAGGTTACAGACAAGAAGCGGGGAGAGACAGGGCGATCCGCCGTCAGCATCACTGCAGAACTGGGGGGTGGGGAGGGGGGGGCGGGCGGCATCGTGCTCCCAGGAGGCGAGGCTGGAGAAACAGGAGGGGGTGACGCCGAGGTTACCTGCCCTTGTGAGTTTGCACCCTTGGAGGCTGGAGGAGCCATTTGTATTTGAAGAAAGAGAGTGGTCAGAGACACGGCCCATAACGCAGTCACTGATGGGTGTGTTGGGGTGGATCTGTGCTGGGAGCTTCTGGCAATCTCGGGTCAGCGGTGAAGAACTCTCTGCGTTGATAGTGCCCAGCTGTGCCTGCTGGCGGCCAGGAGCGCCAGGGACGCAGGCTGCTGCAGCTGGGCTTGTCAGGTCAGGGTGTTTGCTCCTGTGGGTTAGCGAGGAAATGGCAGCTGCCACTTCCTGAGCACCTGCCGCCTGCCCAGCTGTGCTTCTGGTTTGCACACCGTGATCTTGCTGAGCAAGCCTGGAGTGAAGTGGGGGTGTCCTCACAGCACAGCAGACCCCGGAGCGACTGTAAGAGATGGAGCCAGCGGTCAAGGCCAGTCTCACTCCTCGGCCATGTGCTTTGTACTCTGTCTCCCTGGAGGAAGTCAGCTCTGTCTAATGTGTGTGTGCACGCGCACGTGTGTTTCAGATTATCCTGACTCCACTGATGTCAAATTTGAAGAGCTTAAAAATGTCAAGCTTGAGGAGGAGGAGGAGGAGGAACAAGAAGCAGCTGCCTTGGATCTTTCTGTGAATCCGGCCTCTGTGGGGGCACGCCTTGTCTTCTCAGGTTCCAAAAAGCCATCGTCTTCCAGCCTGGGCTCTGGTTCTTCCCAGGATTCCATCTCTTCTGATTCAGAGACCAGTGAGCCTCTGGCCTGCCGCGCCCAAGGGCAGACTGGAGTTCTCACTGTTCACAGCTATGCCAAAGGGGATGGCAGGGGCCCCGTGGGCGAGCCGTGCCCGAAGAAGAAAGAAAGTGCCACCCGAAGTTTCAATGAGCGGGAGCTGGTGGAGGTACGGCTCTGGGCAGAGGTGTGGGTGAGGGAGCTGCCGGGGCAGGGGGTCTGTGGAGGGGCTGAGACGGGTGGCATGGAGGTGCTGTAGGAGGGCAGGAGAGGTCCATTTGGGGCTTAGAGCTTGTAGTTCAGAGCGGCGAGCCTGTGACCTCCAGCTCTCTGAGCTTGCTCTTGCTGAATGCTCTTACTCGCAGCAGTGTGAGCCTCTTGGTCCTGGGAATTATTTTGCAGCCTCAGAATGATAGCTCTCGTGCTGAGTTGGGGTGGTGGGGAGGAGGAGCATGGGGGTGGAGCATGCATGGCCGTGAGTCCAGCCCGTGAGCACTCGGCTGGAGCACAGGACACCAGCAGAGGTGACGTCCTGCACCCTGCACTTGGGTCGTGGGTGGGCAATGTCCGTTGACATTGGATTGGCATTTATTTGAACGTCTGTCCAAGCCTGAGTGCTAGGAGGCTTCAGTGTGTGAGGGTTGCTTCCGGGATGTTTGTAGGTCGGGTGAAGAGGAAGAAAATTTGAAATCAAGGAACCAATTTGGAACTTGAATGAGAGTCGGAGGTCCTGTGCTGGGCGGCAGTCAGGAGCGGAAGCAGCAGAGGGTTGGGGAGCTACACTGGGGGGAGCATATCAGGGCAGCTTGGTTATCAGAAGGCCGAGAGCGGTGCTGTCTGTGTTACTGTGTTAGGTGCCGTTGAGTCTAGCCTTGTGCCACCCTCAGAATTGTCCTTCTGCTTGAGCCCATCGTGGCAGCGACTGCCACCCCATCTTGTCGAGGACCTGCCTCTGTTTCACCGCCCCCCACTTTCCCAAGCACAAGTCCTTCTCCAGGCTGGTTTCCTGACAACGTGGCCAAATGGAAGGAGACCTCGTTCGCCGTCTCGGCTTTCAGTGACATTCTGCCTGTCCGACTGACTGGCA